TTTATATTTCATAGTTTTATTATTTTTTGTATTCATAAATTTGGAAATATATATTGAATTTTGATATTGTTTTAGTCAGTATGTATTTTTACAATTAATAGTTGTATTCATTCAAAAATTATGTTGCATTGTTTCTGAATTGACATTTTTTTCTAATTTGTATTTATTCTAAAGGTATGTCAACTAATTATATATTTTATTCTGATTGTCCCATTTTCGTCTATCACAAGAGTATCATGGTTTATTTAATTGAGTTAGACATGGTAGATTTTGATGTCATCCTTGGTATGAACTAGTTTCATATATGTTATGCCTCGGTTGATTGTAAAACTTGAGTTGTCAATGTTGAAGTTTCTAAATGTGTCAATCTTAGAGTGGAAAAGTAGTTCAGTAGTGCCTAAGGGTCATTTTACTTAGTACCTTAAGTCAAGAAAGTTAGTTTTTAAGGGGTGTGTCTATTACTTAGTCCGTGTTAACGACTCTAGTTTTGAGATACCTCATATTCAGCTAGTTTCAGTAGTAAAAGAATTTCCAAAAGTCTAGGAGATCTTCGTGGAGTTCTTCTTGAGAGAAAAATAGACTTCGGTATAGACATTCTTCTAGATACTTGTCCTATATCTATTCCTCCATACAGAACGACACTAGTAGAGTTGAGATTAAAGAACAATTGAAAGATCTTCTTGTAAGGGTTTTATTCCACCAAGTGTCTCAACTAGGGGCGCGCTTGTCTTGTTTTTTTAGGAAGGAGAATGGTTCTTTAAGCATGTTTATATATTACCATCACTTGAACAAGGTTACCATCAAGAATAAGTATCCTCTCCCGAGAATTGATGATCTTTTCGATCAAGCTTTAGGGTGCTAATTATTTCTCTAAGATAGATCTCATACCAGGTAATCATTATTTAAGAATATGGGAATGTGACATTATAAATATAACTTTCAAGACCTATTATGATCACTATGAGTTCCTTGTTATGTCCTTTGGTTTGACCAATGGGTCTGCATTATTCATGGATCTTATAAATAAAGTATTCAAGCATTATTTCAATATGTTAGTTATTGTGTTTATTGATGACATACTAATTTATTTGAGGAATGAGGAAGATCATGGTAGCTATATCATAACAGTTCTCTTGACTCTAAATGATAAAGAGTTGTATATCAAGTTCTCTAAGTGTGAGTTTTGGCTTGGGTATGTGGCATTCTCTAGAGGGAATTAAAGTTGATAGTCAAAAAATAGAGGTAGTGTAGAATTGGCCTAGACCCACATCTCCAAATCATATTGGGAGTTTCTTGGGTTTGGTTAGCTATTATATATGGTTCATAGAGAGTTCTCGTGTATTTCATCCTGTTAGACCAAGTTGACTCAGAAAACAGTGAAGTTTTAATGGCCTGAAGCTTGTGAGAAAAGCTTTAAGGAATTGAAAAAGGGGTTGACTACTGCCAGTGTTGACCTTACCAGAAGGTACTCAAGGTTTTGTCATATATTGTGATGCGTCTAGAGTTGGTTTGAGTTGTATGTTCTAGCAAGGGTATAGCTTATGCCTCCAGAAAGTTGAAAGTTCATGAGAAGAACTACCCAACCCATGATCTAGAGTTTCCTATCATAGTATTTGCCTTGAAAATATGGTGTCATTGTCTTTATGTGTTCATGTGAATGTGTTCACTGATCACAAGTGTCTTCAGTATGTGTTTACTCAGAAGGAGATTAATATTAAACAAATGGGGTGGTTAGAATTACTCAAGGATTATGATATGAATATTCTTTATCACCCACGTAAGGCTAATGTTGTTGATGATTCCTTGAGCAGGTCATCTATGGGTAGTACTTCCTATTTTGAGGACGATAAGAAAGAACTAACAAATGATGTGCACACTTGTACGCTTAGGAGTTCGCCTAATGAATTCCACAAAAGGAGGAGTAGTGGTGATGGATAATCATTAGTGTTATAAGTGAAAGATAAGCAAAACCAAGACCCTATTTTGCTTGAATCGAAGGCAAATGTTCATAAGCAAAAAGTATTGGCTTTTGAACAATGGGAGATGGTGTATTGAGGTATCACGGTAGGTTGTGTATACCAAGGGTGGATGAACTCCGAGATAGGATCATGGAGGAAGCTCATAGATCCAATTATTCCATTCATCTGGGTTCCACAAAGACAAATCGTGATTTGAAAAAGTGTATTGGTGGAGTTGTATGAAGAAACGCATTGCAAAGTTTGTTGCTATGTGTCAGAATTACCAACAAGTTAAAGTAGAGCACCAAAGGCTCTGTGGTTTGGCTCAAAATATAGATATTACAAAATGGAAGTTGGAGATGATTAATATGGACTTCATCACAGGTTTACTAAGGTCTCGTAGGCAGCATGATTCGATTTGGGTGATTGTCGATAGAACGATAAAATCAACCCACTTTTTGCCGGCAAAGACTACCCATTCAGCAGAGGACTATGTCAAGTTGTAAATTTAAGAGGTGGTTAGACTTCATAGGGTGCTAGTTTCGATCATTTTAGACAGAGGTGTGCAATTTACTGTACAGTTTTTGAAGTCATTCTAAAAAGGCTTGGGTTCAAAGGTGAACTTAAGTACTGTCTTTCATCCTCAGTCAAATGGTCAAGCAGAGCGCACTATTCAGACCTTAAAGGATATATTGAGGGCTTGTGTGATTGATTTCAAAGGTAATTGGGATGATCACCTACCTCTTATTAAATTAGCTTACAACACTAGTTATCACTCTAGCATCCAAAATGGCTCCTTATGAAGCTCTTTATGGGAGAAGATGCATATATCCTATTAGATTGTTTGAAGTTGGTCAAGCTGGAAATATATATGAGAAGATAAGAATAGATTGTTTGTGTGGGTATGTGTGCGCGCGCATGTGTGTCTGCGTGCGTGAGTGGGTGCCCGCGTGCGTGGGTGCGTGCGTGTGTATGTGCATAATGCTACTCCATTGATAAGATGATGATGATGCTCTATCGATAGGATCATTATGTTGATGCTCCATTGATAGGATGATGACGATAATGATTGGATGATGATGCTACTCCATCGATAGAATAATGCTACTTCATTCATAGGATTATGACGATGCTCCATCGATAGGATCATCATGTTGATGTTCCATTGATAAGTTGATGATTATAATGATAGGATGATGACTCTACTCCATCGATGGGATAATGATACTCCATTAATAGGATGACGATGTTGCTCTATCCATAGGATGATAATTTTGATACTTTATCGATAGGATAATGAATCTTCATTGATAGGATGACGATAATGATAGGATAATGATGTTGCTCCATTGATATGATGATGATGATGATACATTGGTAGGATAATGATAATGATCCATGGATATGATAATGTTGATCCATTGGTAGGATAATGATAATGATCAATTAATAGGATAATTTTGATCCATTGGCAGGATAATGACAATAAAGATCCGTCGATGGGAAGATATTGATCCATTGATAGAATGATGTTGATGATCCATTGCTAAGATAATGTTGATCCATTAGTAGGATAATGATAATGAAAATCCATCGATAGGATGATATTGATTCATTGATAGAATAATGATAATGATCCATTGGTAGGATAATGCTAATGAATATCCGTCGGTGGGATGATATTGATCCATCGATAGGATGATGATAATGATCCATTATTTGGACAATGTTGATCCATTGTTAGGATTATGATGATAATAAATATCCTTCGGTAGGTTGACGACTGAGATGATGATGACAATCCATCGCTAAGGTGATAATGGTGATGATAAAGATTCATTGGTAGGATGAACATGACTTATTGATAGGATGATGTCTATCGATACCGAGTGAAGATGATGCATCACCGAGCAACATAGGTGATCTTGTAGGTATCTTCTGAGTGACAGTATCGTCTCAATCGACAATACAAATAAAAATGACCCTCAGAGTAGTGGTATGATCTCATTCAAAAATACGATATAAATAACACTCTAAATAGTAATATTATCATGTATGATAATATGGTGTAGATAACGCCCTCCGGGTATCTTTAGTTGATAGAAAACAGTAAAATGTCGTTCATCTGGATTTTCATCTGTTCCATATCTTAACAGAGTCGCACATGCATTATGGACCTCGCCTTGTTAGGAATAGAATGGGATAATGTTATTTATATTCTCAAATCCTTGATATACGCAACATAAAATATTTCCTGCATCCACAGATTAATTGTCAATTTTGGAGAGCTCTTCGCTCTTTTGACTCCCCCTCATTAATTGAATGGAGGAATATGTTGATTTTGAGATAAACTTATAAACGTGCATCCATAGAAAAATTGTTTATTTAGAAATAAACTGTTATGTGTCGATCTCTTTGGTTTTCTGCTCCTTGTCTTCCTATCTCCAATTGATTTCTCCAATCTGTCGCCTCTTGATGGATAAGACAAAATATTTTTATGTAAACATAATTGAAACAGGGGAAAAGTTTTTAAAGAAAATAGATTTTCAAAAAGCAAATATTTGGAAAAGGTCACGGTCAAGTGTCATGTCACATCAAGCTTACTAAACGTCTTTGAGGTTGATGTCTCAAGGTCTATCTGATTACTTTTTGAGGAAGCATTCAACATTGCTCTAAATTGTCGATGAACTCTGTCAAAATTTTGAGGTCATCCTCAAAATTTCTGTCCAGTTAACTATCATGGTTTATCTTTAACTGTTTGTGAGAAAATTACATTATTTGTGAGAGTTTCCTAAAGATTTGTCCCAGTTGCGAATTCCAGTGGGATCTTCTTCTTGAGAATTTCTTTGTCCCTCTCAACCATTCTGTCCCAATTTTCTATTATAAAGAAAAAATTAGAGATCTTACACAAGATATGACCGAACCCTTGTGGCGCATACGTATCCCGTTGAGATAAGAATCAGGATAAACATAGTTTCCCATCTCGAGGATCTATCTCATTCTTGAGAATTCAGGTCAACATAATTCATAAACAAAGAAACATTAAGAGGGATAAAAGGGGTGACCGAGGCCAACATAGGCCACCTACGTATCTCATTCTTGAGAATTCAGGTTAGACGTAGTTCATTACAAATGGATAAATTCTAAGCTTAACTATTACAAATGAATAAAAGAGATTACAAGGAAATGATAGAAATCAAGCTTTCCAACATGATGTCTTTCGACAACATTTGAGTAAATTGATGACTTGTGAGACCTAATGTTCATGCTCAACCTTATAATATCATCAAATAAATGTATTGATGTGATTGCTAAGCGAACCGATGAGATCTCTCTCGTGTGCTATTGTCAGATAGGCACCAATTTAATTTCTTTGATGCATTCATCATTTTCTTGATTCATTATTCCAATCTCTTCTGAATTCGACTCTTTGTGACTTTTGAACTGTCTGAATTCATCAACCACTGTTTGGGTACAATGATCTTCTTACTGTAGTCCTCAAACTCGTCTGCATCTACCCCATTTCGTTCATTCAACTTGTGATATGACATGATATTGATAGATTTAAAAATATTTTCACTGAAATCATAGGGAGATACCGTTAGATAGCAAATATAAATCAAGGAAACCAAATTTTCAATAAAGGAGGTTTTCATTTGAAATGAGAAAATAAGAACTTTGTCAATAAGTCATTTTCCTTTCTCTTTTTTTTTCAAAATATTAGAAGGAATTTAAAACATAGTGTGGCGAAAATAGAGTAAAGGAGGGTCTCGAGCCTCATTGAAACACCACCAATTTTGAAAATAACATATAAAATTGTCAATGTCTACCAAGACGAGCTAGGAATCAAGAGCGAACTGGATGTCCAGTTGAGCATTTGCTCCTTTGACTCGCTGTCTAGTATGACTGGTGTGTCAATCATCTTTTTCAAGCACAATTTCACCTTCTTTGATCAATTTTTTGATTCCTTCCCTACACCAATTTGCATTGGAAAAGATTGATATTAGTGAGGCAATGATTTTTGAAAAGCATGATCAATATTCTGCTTGTTCTGACCCTCCTTCGGTACTATATCAAAAGCTTGATGAGGTACTTTGATCCCAAATTCATAATTCTCTTCTATGGTTGGAGCGGATACAACTTTCTCAAGCTTTTCGAGGTTGTCTGAGATTATAACTTTCTCGACGTACAAATCTTCTTCAACTTTAATCACATTACTGGTCACCCCTCCATGATTAGGCATGAGGTTACTATTGACATTAGGAGTGACAGTGTGAAGAGTGATGACTTTTTGATCTATTAGGTCTTGAATTTTATGTTTCAAGTTGATGCAATCCTCAGTATTATGTCCAGCGCCTCCTGAATGGTAAGCAGAATGAAGATCGGATCTATAAAACTTAGAGTTGACATTGATGATTTTTGGATCAATTGTCTGTATCAGTCCAGCTGATTTCAATCTCTCAAAAAGTTGTGTTCGACTCTCAACCAAAGGAGTAAAGACTTTAGAAGGTATCTTCTCAAGATTTAGACGAGGAGGAAAGTGTGAAGGTACTTGACGGTAGTTTGGAAGATTTTGGTGAGTTGGCACTTGGGTTTGAAAATTTGAATATTACGGAGCTCGGTAGCTAGGAAGGGTACTTTGGTAGTATGGTGGTGGATATTTGTAACTTGGTTGGATATTTGAACAATTAACTGATGGAGCTTGATAATATGGATGGGTATTTGGTAATGTGAAGGTGGGGAAATGTCTGAACATTGTTCGTATTTTGGTTTTGAGGAAGATGGAAGGTTTGAAAGTTGGTATTTTGAGGAGGAGGTGGTGGCGTGATGGGGATTGGGAGTACTTAAGTCAATGGTTGGAGGATTTTGAACGGGGTTAGAAGGTAGGTTCTGAACCTGTTCAGCGCTGCTTGGAGGAGGAAAGTGGAGTGGAGGTCTTCCATCTCTTCGAGGGTTGAAGGAAGAAACTGGATTAGACAAATCTTGCATTCTTTGCACTTCGACCCTCATTTTGGCAATCTGTTGCATTAACTACATAATCAATTCATTTTGATCAGCAGCGGTGGGTTGAGCCACAATAACATCATTCGGGACAATCTTATCATGTTATCACTCATTACTGCCTATTCTTTTTGCTAACTTTAATATGGGAAGAAATCTTTGGAGACCTTAGATCTTGTGAAATAAGAATGATCAGCAAACCTATCAACACAGATCGATTCTAAATACCTGACAAACGAAAAAAACAAATGTCACGATCCAAATTGGGTCACGACTGGCACCCACACTTACCCTCCTATGTGAGCGAACCAACCAATCTAAACCTTAACATTTCAATATAATATCAACAGAAAGTAATGCGGAAGACTTAAACTCATTAATAAAAACCAATTCAATAACTTCTAAAAACTCAACAACTATTATTATCCCCAAAATCTGGAAGTCATCATCACAAGAACATCTACTTCAAATTACTAAATCTAAGAGTAGCTAAGAA